TGATTAATAGAGAGAACGTGAATAAGGTATGACAGAAACAATATGTAACGTACAACACTAGTTCTATTTACTCCTTTACCAAGCAATCCACAATTATTATAATCCCTCTAGGGGCAATGTCGCGTACAATTTCGTCGCCTTAACTAAACAAGGAACACACAACACACAGCACATACACAAACTTTCAACATAGTTTACACAGTCCCAAAGTAGTTTAACAGTCTCAAAGTAGTTTAACAACGAATACAGAGCAAAACAACAAGTCAATGCAAATCAAACCATACTCACATCTAGCGATGGTGACTCTGACTTTCTGTTCTAAAGCGGGACTTTTTATACTATTTTCTCCGAACCACGTGACTTAAGTATGTCACGCGTTTCGTCCACCTAACCTGGAGGTCTTTCTTTACTTTTGATAGGGGAAAGTGACCACTGTCCCACTGCCTTGGCACTAATGAGGCGGGTGAGTGATTAGTTGCCCGAGGCAAGTCCCTGTCAATGAATCTGCCGGTGTAAATTCTTATAAATAGGTATGGCTGAATTAGCTTCATTACATTACCCCTACCTATGAAAAGTTGTGAGCTGTTATTTTCCGGCGAACAACTTGGAGGTTAGTGTTATTTGTACGTTTATCTACCCTAGTATTTATTTCATTAAAAAAAATGTTGCTCAATTCGATGTTGTAAATTTTTATTATCTTAATATTTCTTTCTTTCTTTTTATTTTATATTTGGTTTTGTTTTTTGAGAATTTTTGTTGAGTAAATAGTGTGTGCTGACCCTTGCTAAAAAACTAGAGTTAAAAAAACAATTAACTATAAGCTACTACTAGTCCTTAATTAATGCGTCGTCCGATGTCCGTTGTCCTCAGTTGTGTCAGTGGGTGCATCTCCGTGGCTGGATCCGTGGGTATCTCCGTGGTTGGCTCCGTGGGTATCTCCGTGGGTATCTCCGTGGTTGGCTCCGTGAGTATCTCCGTGGTTATCTCCGTGGTTGGCTCCGTGGGTATCTCCGTGGTTGGCTCCGTGGGTATCTCCGTGGTTGGCTCCGTGGGTATCTCCGTGGTTGGCTCCGTCTGGGACTGAGGTGAGGGCGTCGCGGGAGGGGTAGGTGTGGTGGAACGTGGCATCGGGGAAACAGCGAGTACTGGTCTTCCTGGAGCTTGTGTTTTCCTGGCTGCTCGGCGGCGGCGGCTGTCGGCAATCGTCAAGAGTCGGCCCTGCTGACACTGGCGGGTTGAGTCGGTCCTGATGGTTGGGGTGGTGTCAGTGGCGAAGTCGAGGTGGTTGGTGGCGGTGGCGATGTCGGCGATGGTGACGTCGGCGACGGTGATGTCGGCGACGGAAACGATCTCCAGGGTGTCGGTCGAGGGAGTTTCAGGAACGATGGTGCTGATGGTGTTTCTGGCATTTCCCTGCGCTGTGGACTGGAATGAGGAGTCGATCGCCTTCCACACGAAGTTGGTGTAGGTGTGAGCCATTGTCACTGCCTCTTGTGATGGCTCCTACCCTTCTCGGGTGCCGCTCCTCGCAAGGGTGGCTGCTGCGTTGGCTGCCTCTAGGGCGGTGGAGATCATGACCATCTCGGGAGCTGAGCCAACGATATTCCTTTCCATAGTTGTTGCTGTGGTAAGGACTTGGTGGAAGAGTAGACACGATTAGACATCGTGAGCGTTATAATGCAACGCACGATGCGAGGTCGCGAGTCATACGGATAATACTCAACAGCAACGTAGTGGCTGATGCTGGAGGTGTTTTCCACGGTTAGAGTCGATTGATTGAGTGTGGTCGTATTTGTTGTAGTCTGAATCCACGGTGTTAGCACAGCACTACCCACCCGCTTCACCACCGGAACCTGCAGCGCGCGGGCACGGAGTACCGGTGTGAGCGGGTACCACGGGAATCTGCGGGTTCCGGAGTTAGCACAAGTAGTGACGAGGTGTAAATTCTTATAAATAAGTATGGCTGAATTAGGTTCATTACACAAGCAATGTTCAGAACTGGGTCAATTTTTGCAGCATGGGGCGACCTACTCCAGACAGGGCACGCATACTCAGCCGCAGAGTAGCACAGGGCGATAGTAGTGGTTCTGATTGTCCCGGCGTCTGTTCCCCATCTAGTAGTGGCCAACTTCTTTAGAATACTGTTTCTGGCACCCACTTTGGCCGAGCAGCAAAGCACAATGCAGCAGCTGATCAGTTAGCTACGATTAAGTGGCTTCTAACAAGCTCGTAATAATTATCGTAAATATAAGAAATAAATGTAAAAATAAAAATCGTAAAATAAAATCGTAGTAATATACCGCTATATAACGAAGTCATCTCATTTAACACGACAAAGGTCCAGCGATGCGGTTCGAGGGTCAAAGACCGGAACCCCCCGCCCTCCAGAAAAGCCAACCCACACCGCCCACGATAACCACTACACTGCAAGCCATTTGCATGTGGGTCAAAAGTTCCATTAACCCATTCAGCACGCTGTGTAATAACAACATGGCAGGTTATTAAAATTCATAACCTATTCTAATAATCCACGGCCGTTGATTATGCGAGGCGACGCGACGATGTCATGGGCGCCCATTCACACCGCCCGCTCTGACAAAATGCTTACGAGACCGAACAATGCGTTGTGTTTTGATTACTGTGAAATGAAATTTCATATACACGCCACGCGATTACCATATGTAAGAAATATATTTTAGCAACTCGCCTTGCCGCGCTGTCAGTCGCCACTTCGGCGATAAACGGTGCGTGAACCAAGCATATATTGGTGTGTTCGTGTTCATAGGATTTCTCTCTCTCTCTCTCTCTCTCTCTCTCTCTCTCTCTCTCTCTCTCTCTCTCTCTCTCTCTCTCTCTCTCTCTCTCTCTATATATATATCTCTCTATCTCTCTCTCTCTCTCTCTCTCTCTCTCTCTCTCTCTCTCTATCTATCTATCTCTCCTTTGCTCTCTCTGTCTCTTATTCCTGCTCTCTCTCTCTTTCTCTCTTGCATTCTCTTTCTCTCTCTCTCTCTTGCTCTCTCTCTCTCTCTCTCTCTCTCTCTCTTTCTCTCTCTCTCTTTCTTTCTCACTTTCTCTCTCGTCTGTTCTCTTTCCCGCTCTCTCTCGTTCTCTCGCATTCTCTCACATTATCTGCGCGCGCTCTCCGTTCCCGCTCACCCCTTCTTCTCGCCCCACATTTACGATGGAAACCGCGCAGCGAGTAGTGGTTTCCACTGCATAGAGGTAAGAGGAATTAACTTTTGCTCAACGCACGCTCTGGACAACATTCAGCTACGAATTATTACGTCTATTCAACATGTGCCGAGCGCGCCCACGCACATGTTGTGTGCTTATTCTGGCCGGGGCTATAGCGCGGTGTATGTTGGTATCATAGAAATATAATAGCGACACCTATATTACCTAGCGTCTACCTATATTATTTCTATGGTTGGTATGTATGTATGTACATGAACGCTGAACACAGCCCGCCTCGGCTCTTTACCCGCATCCGTCACACTGGCCGGACGACAAGAAACGCCGTGTGTAGGGTAATTGTCACGACGACTATGCGTGAGATAGTATGACAATCACGCCTCGCGACCTGCATAGCAGCGGCTGGGGAAAATGCAGACAATTACATCCGCTACTTGATTTCTAAACAAATGCGGGTATATGTTATATAATTGTGTATACGCGCGTATAATAGCAGCTTATACGAGCATAATATACGTGAGCTTACAGCGGGGCACTATCGCGGCCAGGCATGTGGGCAGAGAGCCTGTCGCTGCGTCGCCCCCCGTGTAAAGCGACGTCAGGCAGCCCATAAATAATGCATCGACACCTTACTCAAGAGTCTTCCCATACATGAGTGTGAATAATTTAAATAACATAAACGATATTGTGCGCAGAACATGCACGGAGGTGAGTAATTGAGACATCTACACACATACGCGCGTGCGTAGATACACAAACACAGACACAGACGCAGCCACGCACAATCTCAGTTGCGAATGCGCAGTCATACCCTTGCACGACCAATGCGAATTAAAACTAAGAATGGCTTCATCTGTGAGACGATGCATATAAAAGTTTTGATGAAATCGTGGGTATAGTGTTGAGTATCCGTACACCACGTATATACACGGCGTCTCGCGTCTATATACCTTATTTGTGATCGAAAATCCCAATTGAAGGTCTGTTATGTATAGAATAAACGCAATTATTGAATTTAAACAACCTATTATTAGTGTTGACGTATTTTTTCAGCGACAAATTATCCTACAATACTCCTTTGCACAGTTTTGTTAATCTTCGAGGAAACGACACAGCGGCGAATGTGTAGCAATGATGATGTTAAGCCCAACCTCCTTTACTTCTATAACATTGCTGTTGTTTTCTGTGCACAACTAACCGATAACAGACCTTTTGTGATCACCCGTTAGAGGTCAAGCAACTTGCCCGTTTCCAGTATTCAATTTGCTTTTTAAACGAAATAAAGTGTATTTATTGTCGAATATATTAATTTGGCCTTTAAGCCGAAGATTTGCAACTAAAATCCAAATTTGCGCAAATTGCGCTTGCAGGTAAAACGACCCATTTAAATTTCATTTAAACCCTACACAGCCACGCTCATATGCATGCATGGGCCATTCCTGCATTTCCATGACAATGGAGTGAAACATATAAGCGATTACTGTTATGTAGCAAAGTCAGAGACTGCTAGGCGTCACCCAAACCCACTCAGATGGAGGGATGATGGAGAAAGGAAGAGCGGGAGGGAGGGATATGTGCAGGAAGGTGAGGCGAACAAACACACGCACAGCCAGACAGACAGCCAGCCAGCCAGCTAGCCAGTCAGCCAGCCAGCCAGACAGACAGACAGGCAGACAGACAAACAGACAGACAGACAGACAGACAGAGACAGACAGACAGACAGACAGACAGACAGACAGACAGACAGACAGACAGACAGACAGACAAACAAACAAACAAACAAACAAACAGACAGACAGACAGGCAGGAAGGTGAGGCGAACAAACACACACACCCACAGACAGAGAGACAGACATACATACAGGCAGACGGACAGACAGACGGACGGACAGACAGACAGACAGACAGACAGACAGACAGACAGACAGACAGACGGACGGACGGAAGGACGGACGGACAGACAGACAGACAGACAGACAAAGAAACAAACAAACAAACAGACAGACAGACAGACAGACAGACAGACAGACAGACAGACAGACAGACAGACAGACAAACAAACAGACAGACAGACAGACAGACAGACAGACAGACAGACAGACAGACAGACAGACAGACAGACAGACAGACAGACAGGCAAGCAGACAGACAGACAGGCAGGCAGGCAGGCAGGCAGGCAGACAGACAGACAGACAGACAGACATACAGACATACAGACAGACAGACAGATAGACAGACAGACATTGAGCAAAAATGAGAGATCGCTTATAAATGATTTATGAGTCAGCTATAGAATTTCCCGTAGAGCGGTAGGATATTAATACTAAACCCCGACATTGAAAAATATCTAGGTCTATACATACGACGTGAAAATGTTAAGCCGCATGAAAAAACGCAAACATACCCACACATTTTCTTACAACATATTGGCATATTCGATAGTAAGGACCGCGCTGCACAGTAGCTCGTTGTTTAACAGATCTAGAATGGCGATATTTCGCTGTTGATAGGCTCCGGCTGGTAAAAAGCGAAAGCCTCTGACTAATAGCGATCATGCTTGCCGATAATTTTAATCGCAACGTACTCTCTACGTATTTTTACCTCGCGCGATCTAGCGCAGCGAAACCAGGGCGTCGACGAGGAAGTAGGGTCGCGAGCGGAGGGCACCCCTCCCGCCGTGCGAAGGACCCGCAGGAGGGGAAAGCCTTTTCCTCCCCGCTGTGCGGAGAGCTCCTTGTGCGAACAATCCCTACGATTACGAGACAACGCCCTTCCATGCACCCACCCCCACGCAGCCCGCCTCAATGGCCCATCGCTGGCTGCAACACGGTCATGCACGCGCGGCTGGCATTAACATTAACCCAGCCGTCGGCTGACAATGTAGCAAATGGTAATGGCTACACTCGGCATCATTGCCGTCATTAAAGTGAATTTACTCGAAGACAAGTGAGAAACGCAGCGTTGGTTAAAGTTACAAGGACGCGGCGCGTGCTAATCAGTGCCGACTGGTCGCCTTAGTAACGATCTTGTGGCGGATGCTGGAAAGATGACAATTAGGTGACGGATGAAGGAGGCTTAACTCACAGCGCCCGAGCGCCTCCGTGATTGTTAGTAATGAGTTATTGATGGGATTATATACATTATTCTTGTTGACGGTTTACATGTACGTGGCAAACATGTCATGGGAGAAGTTAAAATTTAATGAAATTCCGGGGTTCCTTGCTTTTTCTCCGCAGAACAGGAGAGGGGTGCCAGCAGTAAGGCACTGCAGTGATGCAACAAGT